GTGGAGGGGGACTTCGACGGAATTGGGAGGAGAGGCAAGGCTTGCGTGCAGCTGGCTCGGATCCTGCAGTACTTAGAGTGCCCTCAGTAAGTCCACTATGGTCAGACTGTACATCAGATTTGCAACAGAACTGACCACCACGGGTATCGCATGGTAGAGGCTATGGGAGCAGGAGGCAAATTCTGTTTGTATTGCATAACGATGCAGGAACACAGGATCTAATTGTTTCACATGTCTGACTCAGGAGTTTAACTAAAAGAAGAGCAGTGAACGCAGGATAGAACCTGCATGATACATTAGAGGTAGATAAGGGACTTGAGGGAGCTAAGCATGCTTTTCTCTGTACTCAGCTCCTTTGACTCAGAACAGGGGTAGAACTGAGCGTTGGATTCCTTAGAAACAACTGTTTTCACATTTGAACCTTCTCTGATAACAGGTACTTGAGGAAATCCTTTTTTCCAAAACATGAGGATCTGCAGTTTGCAGGTAGTGATTCAGTTGTCTCTGTCCCAAGCTGTTGGCTCCCCCTTCCTGAGCTCTGGCTCTTGTTTGCATGACATGCCCAGAATTGAAAAACTTTTCCCCGCTTCAGAGCGCAGGCAAGGTGCTGTGCTGTGGTATGCTGGACCAGAGAAGGAGGGGGCGGCAGAGCAGTTGTACTTACACCTGTGTTCCCACAGTTTGTGTCCTCTCCTTAGTGGTTGCTTTTATCTGTGCTGTTCTAGGGCTTCTCAACCCCCTGGACAGCCCCCACCACATGCGGGTAGATGAGGATTCAGAGTACCGAGAAGGCATAGTGTTGGACCGGCCAACTAAGCCAGGCAGAGGCTCTTTTGTTAACTGTGGGTTGAGGAAGGTATGTCAAATCCCAAAACAATTTCCCCTGTCTCTCTGGCAGATTTGAAGCAGGCAGGGTGGGTACTGCTGGGTTTCTGAAGGCCATAGCAGGCTGGCACAGGGTTTAATGCTGTTGCTATCTTGTCCCTTCTGGCTCGTTAACGGTTGTAGCTTCCCGAGTCCTGGCAGGCCTGCCCATTCCAGCACATCGTTGCTTCGCTGCTGGATTTAAACCTTTGAGCAGCAAAATAAGTCTCAGACTGCTGACCCAGCCACCCTGAGCCTGCTCTGCACTGCATGCACCACACGGGCCCTGATCGCAGAGCTCCTCACTCCAGCTCCAGGCCAGAACAGACCCCCGCTTCCTCAGAGGGTTCCCTTCCTTCCCCACCTTCCCCAGTACTTCCAGAATGTCTGATGCTGATGGCGACTGTCACTGCAGGAGGTGCAGATCGACAGGCAGCTGAACCCTGGTCTGCGAGTCACTGTGCACCTGGAGGAACCCCAGAAGCCAGGTAATCCACTGCTCCGTTAGCATTGGAAAGCTTCAGTTGGTCCTTCCATATGACAGCCTTCAGATTACTAATGTAATGTACCCAACAGCTCTGCACGTTCCCTTCACACACAATTTTAATAACAACCTTATCATAGCTCCCTAGTTAACTGGAAAGAACTATCAGCCCTTATCAACAATAAACAGTCCAAACACGCTTTCCAGAATGCGCTCAAAGGGGCGGTTCTTGGTTGTACACCAAGTCAGTGCCCTGCCCCAGAAGAAACTGCCGTATGCGGCTGGTCAAATCCAGCTCTCACTAGGAGATCACGGGGGTTGTTAATCTCTTTGCTTCCCTTTCAGAAGCTAAAGTGCGGAAAGGCACCGTGGTGTCCTCACACCACCCTCGGACAGTCTCGGGCTTGTACTGGGGTTACAGCGTCCGCCTTGCCTCCTGCCTGAGTAAGTATCTGCAGGGGTTCTCTGCTCTGCCAAGTCTCTGCCTGGACTCCACACCAATTTCAGGTCTACTGGCTGCACATCTGCAGCACACGTTAACATCTCTCTCTTTGAAATCTCTTTTGTCTCAAAGGCAGCTTACACGTGCGACTAGCAGCCATGTGGCAATCAAATTCAAGGGCTAAAGCTAGGGGTGTGAATCACCCCAGTCACTCACCAGTACTCTGCCCTGTACTTCCAGTCACCGTTGCGCCTAATGTCCACATTGTAGCAGGAGACAAGAGTTGGTGCTCTCCATCTCCAGGCAGTACCTCTCCATTTCCGTGGTAACTACCTCCTGCTCGTTCACATCAAAGCCAGCAGTGACATTTGAGCTCAAGAGCCCTGCAAAATCCTTTTCCGGTCTTCTGATTGATTGGACCTCCTAGGAAAATCATAAGCCATTAGCCAAGGAATGGCTCCTGGCACCTGTTTGAGCTTTGAGGAAAAAGGTGCTGCAGTTGAGAAGAGTGCCAGAGACTCCTGCAGCAAGGGAATTATGTAGGAAAGAAGAATCGTTCTTCTGTCTCCTGATGCACTAGTGGCACTGAAAAGCAATTCCTTCTGCTGCTGCCACTCACCTGTGGAGTGTTTCAGCCTGTCTAGGAGTCACGCAGCGTGGGCAAGGGCACCTCATGAGTAACCCCATACTGTGTTTGTTTCCCAGGTGCTGTCTTTTCGGAGTGCCCGTTCAAGGAAGGCTACGACCTCTCTATTGGAACCTCAGAGCGGGGCAGCTCCGTGGACCAGGCTACTCTCCCCTCCTTCAGGTTTGTGTCCTGCCTGCTTGGCCCCACTCAGAGGCCCCAGGGAGGCCTGGTGCAGGCAGCAGAGCTGCGGCCTTGGTGTTGTCCCAGGCAGGAACGCTCCTAGATACAAGTGCAAGACTTGCCGGCAGGCTCCCTCCTGTGCTCTGCTGCTCCCTTTTGCACCAGTGCACATCCCTCTGCGTGACAGAAGCTGGGGGAAGTACCTCAGGACAAGGCCAATTCCTTTCCTGTTTCTCTGGAGTTGGTAGCAGGAACTGTCGCAGTGGCCAAGTGCTGTGGAGCTTTGTTAGGGAGGCAGCTGCACTGGGCATTGTCAGCAAGGGACGCAGCTCCCTGCTTCAGCAGCACAGGGGAGCTTGAACACAGACCCAGATACCTGAGCAAAAGAAATGAGTCTGCTTCTTGCAGATAAAGTTAAGAGAACTGTTTATGTGAAGCCAATTTTTAATCCAGGCACATGAGCGGCTCTCCTATGTAAAGCTTGTAGCATCTGCCTTGGTCCAGCGGCAGGAGCCAGTTTCCCCTCTCACCCTGTCCCTGTGCTCTCCCCTAGACATGCCCTTGTTGTGTTTGGAGGTCTTGAGGGCTTGGAAGCTGGTGTTGATGTGGACCCAAACCTGGAGGTCACCGACCCAAGTGTCCTGTTTGACTTCTACCTGAACACTTGTCCCAGCCAAGGCAGCAGAACCATCCGGACAGAGGTAGGGCAGGTGGCTAATGGTGCGGTGGGGCGCGATGCCTGCGTGCACAGAGCAGTGCTGCCTTTCTGCCTCTGGCAGAGACGCATGTGGCCCACGTGTCATTCCCCATGGTGACGCCTCAGCAAAGAGCGGCTGGCTTGCCTGGTGCTCCTCAGAGAGCAGTGGTTCTGACTGCTGCCTGGGTCTGTTCCAGGAAGCACTGCTGATCTCTCTGTCTGCGCTGAGACCCCACATCGATGAGGTGGTGAAGACACTCAGCGACAGCTGAGGGAAGGAAAACCACTGACCTTGCCATCAGGTGAGGACTGCCTTGGGGCAGCAGCTGTTCAAACGCAGGGTGCTGGGCAAATCACTCCAAGAGCCTGGTGGGGCCAAGACACAGCGTCACTAAAGCTGGCAGCGCTGCTCAATCAAGTGTCTGGCTGCTATTGGGACCAGCAACTCTTCACCCTCCTGCCTGTGTGGTCCAGCCTGGGGCCTGCCTCTTGACCCAGCTGGGACAAGCCTGGCAGTAGACTGTGTCTCAGTTATTTAGATGTCTTGGGGTGGGGAATAAAGCAGTTCGGAACCTCAGTTGCCTTGAATTGTGTGTGTGAGTGTCTTGCTGTAGAGGGTGGACGCTCGGTGTCCAGAGATCCTGCGCGCTCAGTGCCTCCGGACGCACATGGCCTTCAGACTTAAAGGAAGTCAAAACTTAGTCCTTATGCCAAGAAGCTGTTCCTGTCTCAGTTAGCCTGACTCCCCCAGCCTCCCCTTCAACTCCAAGGCTTCATCCTTGCCAACAGCAGGAAGGTCTGGAGCTTCAGTTGGGCCTCAGCGCTAAAGCACATCAGCATAGCTCATTACAGTTTGGCTCCATCTGTGATGCCTTAAGCTCTGCCTACAGTGAGCTCAAACAGGAAAGCAGCTGGAAAAGTTGGCTCTGTCCTCCCCTCCTCCTGCTGAGATAGTCTGGGCTTTGGTAAGAGCAGATAAGAAACAACCAATGCTTGGGGGTTCCAAAGCTTTACTGCTAAAACCATCTCCTGAAAGAAAACAATCATACAATCCTTTGGCCCACAGAAAGGCAGGAACCTCTCATCTCCCCCTGCACCCATCTTGTTCCCATTCTTCCCTGCTAAATAGCAGAAATTACGTAACTTCCCTTTGTGTCTTAATGAGCCACGCACAACTCAAAGGGAGCAATTACAGGGGTACCCTCCCTACTGCAGCTTAGGGGCAAATTCTAAAGACTACTATGGTGTCAAGTGCCCAGGAGCCTGCCCTTGAGACCTGCCGCGTGTGTGTTTCACTGTTACGCGAAACAAGGTCAAGAGAAGCATTGGTTTGATTCTTATTTCTCACATTTAAAATTGCACAAGGAACTAGTATTCTGCAGACGACTGCTGTGAGTCCCTTCTCACGGGATACCTGGATTTGTTTAGTCAGGGTTCAATGCTTGTTTCCAGCTGTGATAGCTTTCAAGTTGCTGGTTCTCTTCAAGATGTTTGGGACAAAAAGGAGCCCCGAGGCTCGCTCAATGCTCTCGATGGGAACCAGGAACCGTTCCAGGGGGATTTTCTCATCCACAGGGCTATTGGGCATCACATATGAGCGCAGCTCAATCTCCCCGCTCTCCTTTTCCAAGATGAGGATCTTGAAGAAATGGGTGGGGACGGCCACATTGTTCTTCCCAATCACCTGGTACTTGACGTACATCTTCCCATCGGCCTCCATCCTGCACCAACAGCAACGTCCCCTGTTACCTCCTAGTCTGGTGCCACATCCACGCCCTCAGCCCTCCACCACCCCCCCTAAGTCAGCCCCCACCCCACAGCATGGCCAGCAGCAGCCCTACTTCTGCAGTAGGTTACAGAGGCTACGTGACACGGTGAGGCTGAGCCGTGTATTGGGTCTGCTCCCCTCAAATCTCTTCCCTGCTGTAGCTCTTTAATAGCCTTTCCAACCTCTTTCCTGCTGCTGAAGAGCTCTCAACATGAGACTGCTGCTCCTTAGTACTACATGAAGATCTTTGCAAATAAAGTTGTGCTCGTAAGTGGAGAAATAGCCCATGAAATAAAACCTACAAGCTTTATTCTGCAGGGAAGGGGTCTGCAGTCTGATCTGTTAATCTAATAATCTAGTAATCTACTACTACTAGATCATAAAGGACTGCAAACAAAAGCGTCTTGGTTATGCTGTAACTCAAGAAACCCACCTTTACTCACAAAATAATCATCTGAATGGGAAATACACAAACTGATCCTAATCCTAAGAAAGTACCTTTCCACAGAACCTCTGGGCACAGCTGGTCTCACCTACTGAGCAGGGCCTTAACAGATCATTCCCGTTTCGGGGCAGTGGGGAGTCTGCACCCCCTCAGCCTGCTTTCCTTTCCCATCACGATGCACCTCTCGAGCGCGGTCCCAGCTTGGCCCTCGTGTTTACCTGGGCAGGTAAAGGGGTCCTGTGCAGACATAGACGTTCTTGTTGTTCCTTGCCAAGCTTCTGCTGTACTTCTCAAGGTTATTCCAGGCATTCTGGTTTAAATGAGGATTCTAGAAACAGAACCAGAGTGAGAGAGGCAGCAAAGTCAGTCAGTGGGGAATTTCCTCACCGTTCAGAGCAATAACACCTGCCTTTTCTGTAACACCTTTGCAGCGTCCCGGGCATTTTCCAGGAGAGATCTCCACTATCGCCTCCACTCCGGACGCTGCGTACAGCAAGGTCCTGGTTTGCACACCCAGGAACACAACCCACTCGCCTCAGACCATGATTTTTGCAAGCATCTGTCTGCCTGTTTAACTTCGCTCCTGCAGTGAGCTGCGCTGAACGGCGTCTCTCACAGCTGGAGAGGAGCGCGCAGGTGGGCGCGTTTGCAGGACCGCTGTTGTTAAGTTTAGCAGGAAATACAGCACCCTCGAGTGACTTTGGCCACTTT